CACTACTATAGTGCTGGGAGACCTCAATACACCCCTCTCAAGAAAAGATAGAACTACCAGAAAAAAACTCAACAGAGATACTGAAGAAGTATTTGTCCTTTCATGATGAGATATTTCCCTCATTTTCTTGAGAGCAGATCAAGTTCCTTTTTGGTGAGCAGATGAGTGTGCTGTTTGCACAACCCAATGTCTAAAAAAAGCATTAGAAATAAAAGAATTTGGAGAAAAATTTGGTAGCCAGTTGCAACTTTTTGGTGAAAAACACAGTGAGGGATAATCCATTCTCAGGGATTTCCAAGGCTGAGCTCACTGCTCACTCAGCAAAAAATCACAACCACAATTAGCATAAATCTCGAACCAGACGACAGCTAGTGCGCTCCCAGATGGGCAGAAGAGGGTGTCTGAACGTTGCTTTTCCAGCCTGAAGGACTGCAGAGCACCTGGCTTCTGCCTCACTAGGATGCCTTTCAGCTACCCTGTGAAGTTGTTTGGAATACATAATGTCACCTCTAATTTCAATATAAGTTCATTTCTAATTTTATTTCAATTTCATTCAAGAAAAAGAACACATTTAAAAAAAATAAATCAAATTACCATGGCCCTTGATCACCTATATTGAGTCCAAAGCAGGATAGTCTTTAGTAAAGGTAACTCTTTTTAGCAAGAATTTGTGCAACTCACAGCTAGGCAATGCTTTACCACCACCTTCAATAAAAGCAGGAATGAACCTAAGGACCCAGTTGGACTTCCTTTCCCATTCCGCTTCCAGATTATTTATTATTATTTATAAATAATCAGTTGTTGTGGTATAGATTCTGACCCATGGCTACCCCATGCGTGTCAGAGTGAGGTTTACAATGACTGATTTTTTTTTCAGAAGTAATTGCCACACCTTCTTTCTGATGCACTTATGATGAACTCCCACCCTTTCAGCTAGCAGCTGAACATGTTAACCATTTGGCCCACCTTAAGACTCCTATAAGGAGATTTGATACCAGAGTGGGTAAGGGTAACAGTACTGAATATCGCATTGACTGCCAAAAGAACAAACAGATATATCTCCTGGAGAAGGTACAGCCAGAGTACTCCTTAGAGGCAATAAGGATAAAATCTCATTGCACTTACTTTGGGCATGTTGATAGGAGATTCATTGGAGAGGTACACCATGTTTGGGATGATGGAGGAGGTGGTGAAAGAGAGGAAGACCTTCAACTAGGTGGATTGACACAGTGACTCCAGCAACGGGCTCAATTGTATCAGATATTGTGAAAAAGACACAAGATAGAACAGGGTTCAGACCTGCTGGTCGTAGAGTCGCTATGAGTCATACTCAACAGCACTTAACAACAGTTGTGCTGTGGACCAAAAGGCAAGCAGTGTGAATTCCCCAGCTGCTCTAAAGTAGAAAGATGGGCAGTCTCCTACTACGTGACTTAAAACCTCTGAAAATCTGTCGAAGGGTCAGCTATGAACCAATTCTAACTCCTTGGTAACGTAGACTATTGTTCAAACAAAATCAAGATTTTGCTTGTTCCATCCAAAATCTAACATGTTGGTGGTGGTGGTGGTGGTGTTTACTATCAAGTGGAAACTAACACAGAGCTGACCCTTCAGCAGGTTTTCAAAGACAGTTTAATTGTACAGGAGAAGATTGCCCATCTTTCTCCCAAAGAGCACTGTTTCTTATGAACCGCTTACCTTTGGGAGGGCAGTGCATCTCCTTACCAGATACCACTAGGCTACCAAAGATCATGGTTATTATTGTTAGGTGCTATCAAAGTCGAGTTTAACCCATAGCAACTCTATGAAGAGCTGATCTGAACCCTGTCCTGTCCTATGCCATCCTCAAAATATCTAACATATTCTAGCTCATTGTAGCAGTCGCTGTGTTAGTTCATCTCGTTGACGATCTTCCTATCTTTTGCCAGTCCTCCACCTTTCCAAGCATAATGACCCTTTACAAGGAATAGCCTCTCCTAACAAGATACCCAAAGTATGCAAGATGAAGCTTTGTCATCTTTGTCCCCAAGGGGCACTCTGGCTGTACTTTCTCTAATATATCTGTTCTTTTGGCAGTCCATGGGATATTCAGTAATCTACTCCAACACTACAAGTAAAAAATATTAGTCCTTCTCTCATCCTTATTCATTGTCCAGCTCTCAGACGCATAGCAAGTGATTGAAAAAATATAGCCTGAACTGACATGATTGCACCTCAATAATTTGGAGAGCTCCCTGGGCTCAGATTTGCCCAATGGATATGTCTCCTCATCTCCTGAGTGCTGGTACTAAGAGTGTTGATTGTAGATCCAAGTAAGATTAATTTGTTGATGGTTTCTATCTTTCCTCCATCTATCAGGATGCTTCCTATTAGCACAGTGGTGAGAATTTTTGTTTTCTTGATGTTGAGAGGCAATTCATATTGAAGGCTGTAGTCTTTAATCTTCTGTAGCAAGTGCTTCAAGTCCTCATTTTCACCAAGCAAGGTTGTGTCATCTGCATAAGGCAGACTGTTGATGAGTCTTCCTCCAATCTTGATGCCACATTCTTCTTCTTAAGCCAGCCTTCTCAATTGTGTGCTAATCATACAGATTGAATAGGTATGGAGAAAGGATAAAACCCTGATGCACACCTTTCCTTGACTTTAAACCATGTAGTGTTCCCTCACTCTGTTTGGACAACAGCCTCTCGATCTAGATATAGACTTTTCATGAGGATACTTAAGAGTTCTGGGATTCCTATCTTTCTCAATATTAGCCATAATTTGTTATGATCCACACAGTCAAATGTCTTTGCATAGTAAACAAAGCACAAATACTTATTCTCCTAGTATTTTCTGCTTTCAGCCAGGATCCATCTGACATCAGCAATTACATCCAGGGTTTCATGGCCACATCTAAACCTAGCCTGAACTTCTGACAGTTCTCTATAAATGTACTATTTTTGCCATTTTGGGATGATTTTCAGCACTATTTTACTCAGACATAGTATTAATGATACTGTTCAATAATTTCCACGTTCTGTTGAATCACTTCTCTTGGAAATCGGAACAAATGTACATCTCTTCCAATCAGTAAGCCAGGAAGCTGTCTTCCAAATTTCCTGGCCTAGACTGGTGAGCATGCCCAGGGCTTCCTCTGTTATTTGAAACACATTAATTTGTAATCTATTGATTTCTAAGCCTTTTTTTTTCTTTTGCAAATGCCTCCAGTGCAGCTTGAATTTCTTAATTCAGTAACACTGGTCCTTGATTATAGTACTTCCTGTAATATTTGCCTATTGGCCAATTCTTTTTGGTATAGTGACTCTGTATATTTTCTCCATCTTCCTTTTTTTTTTTTAAAAAAAAATCTTTTTATTGGTTTTCATATAGTAATTCCTTTACATTATGTTTCATTCATTTACACTGTGTTTTATTCATTCATTTACATCGTGTTTTATTCATTCAGTTACATTGTGTTTCTTACACATAAACATCCTATTTTACATTATTTTTTAATTGGTTTGCTTACAAAATTTATATACATTGCATTTCACACTCTTCTTCATTCACATTGTGTTTCATAAAATCATTCTCATACATTATGTTGTATTAAATCAATCACCATTGGACCTTGCCCATCATTACCCTTTATTTTAGTGTTATTCACCATCACAAGAACATGGAAACAATCTAAATGTCCAACCACAACCAAATGGAGTGAGAAATTGTGGTACATTCAAACAAGGGAGTACCATGCAGCACTCAGGAGTAATGATTTTTTAAAAAACACTACGTAAGTTGGGAGAGACTGTAGAGCATTGTGCTGAATGAACTAATGTAGTCTCAGAAAGACAAATACTGCATAACACTGTTGTTGTTGTTAAGTTCTGTTGAGTCGCAGGTGACTCATAGTGACCCTATGAGTGAGAGTCCTCGACGCTTGGGTCCCTTTCATCCTCTTTCCAGGTTCATAGGGTTTCCAGAGGCAAGTTATTATGGAAGTGGATGCCACTCCTCCTTCCAATGCATAAGACTACTATTGGAAAAATAGGAGGATAACTAGTAAAACCTGTACAGGAATTCCATCTTCTTTTAATGCCTCCTGAATCAGTCAAGATTTTGCCCATAATATCTCTCAGTATAGCAACTCGAGGATTAAATTTGTTTTTCAGGTTTTTTCAGCTTGATAAATGCCAAATGAACCTTTTTCTTTTTATACTCCAGTTCCATCTCTCTGCGCATTCCCTTATAATACTTTGCTTTGTCTTCCTGAACTGTGCTCTGAAATCTTATGTTCCGGTCTTTTATTTCAGCACCTCTTCTCTTTATTTTGGCTTCTTGATGCTCTACTGCAATTTTCAGAGTCTCTTCTGACATTCATTTTAATTTTTTATTTCACTTCTGTCTTGTAATCACCTTTTGCTCTCTTCATGATGATATTATTTTTTATGTCATTTCACAATTCATCTGGTCGTTGCTCATTGGTGTTCAATGCCTCAAATCTATTGTTCAGATGATTTTTAAATTTAGATGGTATATACTCAAGGTTGTATTTTGTTTCTTGTGGATCCCTAGTATAGTAAGAAAATGTTTATTATCTGCACAAAACCTTTACATCAAGTAATATTTGAAAATTATAGATTAAATAAATTCAGAACCTTATATAAAGTAAAAATGTTATCTCTATAAAATGGCATTAGAATATGTTCTTATTTTCTATCATTTGATCAACAATCATATTCATTGCATTGAAGTCCCACACAACCTGACAACTGGTCTTGTGTTGAGATTGGTTCATTTGTTTGCCAGAAGCAAAGTAAATGAACAGGAAAATAAAATCTACTCATAAACTTAGTGAGTCAAATGTTTTTAAAGGGTGTTGAAATGTTTCATTCCAGGGTGTACGCCCTTGATGCATGCGGTTTCTGGACGTCAAGTGGACACAGTGAAGCTGCTATTGAAGATGGGAGCCAATATCAACAAGCAGGATGCTTATGGCCGCACAAGTTTATGTCTGGCAACCTACCTGGTAATGACTTGTGTCTGTTGCAGCACTTAGGAAGTGGGATATTCTCAAGATCTCTTTAAAGATCTTTATGAGGGAAGTCTGTTTGTAGGACATCATTATGCCAGCCTCTTGTCTGGCTCCCCATAGAAGGACTTTGTTCTCCTGAGGCCCCCTGGGAAGGGAGTCAATGTCATGGAGACTGCCCTGTGAAACCCATCACTTCTTCCTGTGAGGTTCAAAGTCAAGTATGAAAGAAAAACATAACCAAAGTGGCATTTAGAAGTGAAGTTTCAGTCACAGTCAAGTCAGGAACATATAATCTTATCATTGATGTGTAGCCCAAGGGAAATGACTCCTTTGAACTATTTCCTTTTTTATAAACTATAGTGAAAATAACATTTACTTCACAACCAATTTATCTCAGTCGAAGAAGTCATAAGTGAAGTCACTCAGCACAGAGGAGGTACCAAATTCTTTGTTGACTGAATACTGGCCATGGTTTCAGATATATCCAACGGTGGTGTGATTTTTTTTTTTTTTCTGAAGAAAAGAAAACCACATACCCACACAGTTCCGGAAATGTTGAAAAATTATTTTTTAAAACTTTCAAACCTGGCCTCCCTGAAAAAAAATCTGTTTTTTTAAGAAAACTGAAAGTTTGGCAACTTTAAAAGTTGTTTAATGTGCTTTTCTTTTGGGTCTTATGGTAATATTTTTTCTGTTTAATGAGAAAAAATGATGAGCTGTACATTACAAAGAGAGTTAATATCTTAGCAACTTCGGAGTCAATACTGGCAATGCCAAAACGATATTTGCTTCTCTTGAGGCTTAGCTGCCTAAACACTCATGGGTGGTCTAATGGTGAGGAACTGCGCTGACAACCCAAAAGCACGTGGTTCAAATCCACCAGCTGTTTTGTAGAAGAATGCCTCTGAAAACCTGCTTGACAGTCATCTGTGAGTCAGTCATGACTCATCAGCACAAAACAACAAGACTTAGATATTATTGGCCAATTCTACAAAATCAAGTACAATAGAGTCTGTAGATTTTGACAATTTTTTGTTGCAAAATATATATCACAAAAGTTTGCCATATTGACTATTTTTTCATGTACAATTATTCAGTGGCATTAATTACATTCACTATGTTGTCCTGCTATCATCAGTATTTCCAAAAGTTGTTCATCATCCTAAACAGAAATTGAGTATCCTTTCAGCAATAATGATCTTTACTTCCTCCATTCTTCTGTTAATAAACTTTTGTCTGTCTGTGTTCGCCTGTTCTATTCTGGATGATTCATTGCACAGGATCATACATATTTGCTTATCTGACTTATTTCACTCAGCATACTGTTTTCAAAATTAATCCATATCATGGCATGTATCAGAACTTCATTTTCTTTATCAGTGAATACCATGCCATTGTACACTGTGTATTGTAGCACATTGTGTTTTCCTTTCATCTGTTGGTGAATGAATAGGCTGTTTTGTACATAAGGCTGTCATGAGCACTGGTATTCCCATATCTGTTTTAGTTTCTACTTTCAAGTGTCATGGATAGCTAGGAGTGAGGGTGCTAAGTCATTCGGCAGGGAGGTCTGGTGGTGTCATCCGTAAGGATTTGTATGGTTAACTCACCGTGCCCCCACCAGTGGCTCCACAGGAGAAAGCTGGACAATCTCCTCCCAAGAAATTTACAACTCCTGAAAATCCACTGGATTTTGGTCTCAACTCCACTACAATGAATTTGAGGGATGCTTGTTTGTTTGTTTGTTTGATGGTTATTATATAGTTATCTTTCTAAGAAACCACTAGTTTTTCATGATTGTATCGTATCATATTTCCACTAAAAATGCACATGGGATCTAATTTCTGTGTACATGTAAGCCAACATTCATCATTTTCCATTTTTCTGTTATTAGTGACCCTAGTGGGTGTACTGTGGGTCCTCATGTGGTTTTGATTTACATTTCTTAATTATTAATGATGTTAAGCATTGTCTCATATGTTTATAGGTCATTTGGGGATGTGTGTGTGTGTGTGTGTGTGTGTGTGTGTGTGTGTATGTGTTACAAGAAATGTCTGTACAAGCTCTTTGCACATTTAAAAAAATCAGTTGCTCTTTTGTTCTTGATATTATATTTAATTATATTTATGTTCTTTATAGGGATTAAACCCTTACCAGATCTATGGTATCAAATATTTTCTTCCATTTTACAGATTATTCGTTTGGGATAAAGTTATTTGATGTGAAGGAATTGTTTATTTTGACGAAGAACAATTTAATCTTTTTTTCTTTTTTACCTTTGGTGTCATATCTAGGAATTCACTGTAAAAAAAAATCAAGGTCTTTAATGCAATCTTAAGTTTTCATCTGAGAGTTTTATGGTTTTGTTTTTGTTGTCGTTGTTAGGTCTCATTGGGCTAACTACCTCTTATAGGGACAACAGAACTGAACCTTGTTGTTCTGTGTCATACTTGTTGTTGTTAGGTACCGTTGAGTTGAGTATGACTCATATTGATCCTATGAACAAAAGATCTGAACCCTGTCCTATCCTGTGCCATCCTCACACTTCCTGACTCATAAGAGCCAATTTCAGCAGTCACCATATCAATCCACCTTATTGAGAATCTTCCTCTCCTGCGCATACCCTCCACCCTCCTCAGACTCATGTCCTTCTCCAAGAAATAGCCCCTCCTTAGCAACATGCCCAAAGTATCGTTCTTGCCTCCAAGGAGTCATCTGGCTGCACCCTCTCCAAGACATATCTGTTTGTTCTCTTATCCATCCAGATATATAAAAGGCATCATTCTTACCATCTCTTAATGTGCCACATCTGTTATTACAATCACTGTGTCAGTTCATCTTATTGAAGGTCTTCCTCTCTTTCTCTGACCTTCTACCATTCCAAGAATGATGTCTTTCCCCCAAGGACTGGCCCTTCTCAACAGTGTACCTGATGTATGTGAGAACTCCCTTCATCCTTAACTCATAGCACCACCGTGCTGCACTTTCTCTAAGACAGACTCATAGACACTTCCGGCAGTCCTGGGGGTATTCTGTACCCTTCTCCACCACCACAACACAAAGGCATAGATTCTCCTGTCATCCTTGTTCATGGTCCAACTTTCAGATTCATGGGTCGCAGTTGAAAAGACCGTGGCTTGCATCAGATACACTTTTGTTTTTGAACTGACATTATTGCACTTTAGGGCTTTGGAGAAGTCCTTGACAACTGATATCCCTAGTGCAACATGTCTTTTCATTTCTTGACTGCTGTTAACATGGGTGTTGACTGAGATCAAAGTAAAATGAAATAATTGGAAATTTCAATCTTTTCTCCACAATGTTGTCTTTTAGTCCAGTGCTGAAAATTTCTTTTTCTTCTTTGTTCATTTGAGTTACAAAATACTTATTTTGGGGGGCTGTGTGTGTATGGGTGTGTCTTTAAAAAGGAATTTATTGTGTATAACCAAGAATTTTCTGCATTTGAAAGTTTCATGGCTGTTTATTTTCTTGATGTTTAGATGTAGCCCATATCAAAGACTATCGTCTTTTCTTTTCTGTATTCGAATTGCTTGCCTTCTTGATTGCAGTGCAGCTTCTTGCCACTAAACCACCAGAGCTCCCTAACAGGTGTTTCAAGTCTTCCTCAATTTCTCCAAGCAAGGTTGCGTCAACTGAATAACTGTAGGTTGTTTATATGCCATCCTCCAATCTGATGCCTCATTCTTCTTCATATAGTCCAATTTCTCAAATTATTTGCTTAACAATCAGATTAATGCATACCTTTCCTTATTTAAACCATGCAGTATTCCCTTGTTCTGTACTCACAACAGATTCTTGTCTATATTTAGATCTTGTGTTTAGGTTCATAGTCCATTCTTAGTTCATTTTTTAATACATGGTTTATGGTACAAATTCAGCTAAATTCTATTGCTTTCTGTAAATATAGTTGTCCATTAACTCACTCAGCATACCTTAAGCTCAAGGAACTGAAGAACAAATTAAAACCTCAAGTTGCTATAATCAAG